GCTGCAGCTTAATTTTTTTACTTTTAATCTATATGTGTCTTTATATTTAAAGTGGGTTTTGTTTTTGATTCACCCTCATAATCTGTCTTTTAATTGGTGCATTTATGCCACTGACTTTCAGAGTGCTTACTGATAGAGTTACTACCATATCAGGCAGCTGCTGGGGCTTCTGGGGTGGGCCTGCCCTGGATGGTGGCACTCTGATGGCTCACGCTGTCCTGCCCTGCCTGCAGTATGCAAATTAGCCGCCATCTTTGTTGGCAGTTAATTAACATATCGCACTGATTAGCCCACGGTAGGCATAGTGAAGGTATGGTCAATTACCATGTTTGTCTATTATTAGATAGGATAGAGATTCATAAGTAAATATAAGTTTTGACAATTAGAGTAGAAGAGACTGTTTTTACTTTATTATTTACCCTCAGTGAGCACAAAATATGCTGCGGTAAAATATAAGCTTTATGTATTTCAATCTTTCAGTAAAATTTTAATAATTTATAAGTATACCTATAATAATGAATTTCTTATTGTAAAAGTGCAGCAGTGATAGTGATTAGGGCTTATAGTTGAGCCAATAAGAGGAGAGATTTATAGGAATAAAGAAAGTGTGTTTGTTTTCAAAAGAATATCTGACTGTGTATTTGTCATTACCAAATGATAAATCTGGCAGAAGAACTAGCAGTGACCATCAGAGCTGTCAAACACAGCTGATAAATTTTTTTAAGCCTGTGCATCAGAGAAGCCACCAAAATCAAGTATGCCTTGACTGATACTATCAGCTGCTGCCACCCTCAATGATTATGCAAATAGCAGCTGCATTTACTGAGTATTTTCTAGATGTTAGACACTTTCCATTCAGCAGCATCCCTGTCTTAAAAATGTATTAATGTTCCTATTTTAAAGATGAAGAAACTAAGTCTTGGAGAGGCTGAACAGTTATTGCATGCATGTATGAATGTACTAGTACACACACACACATGCACACACACCTCCAACACACACACACCACAACCACCACCACACTGTCACAATTAGTACATGACAAAGTCAGAAGAAAAACTGAGAATTTTCTGCTTACTCTAAGCCTGTGCTCTTGTAGTTTCTCATATTGCTTACTCATCATTTCACCAAGATCAACTTTTTACAACCAATTAGGTTCTACACTGATAAAGTGAGATATCAAGAAAAAGGTAATCGAAAGATCAGAAGCTGGGATTAGTTTCTTGGAATGTGATTTAAAAAAACTATGAAAATTATCTGGTGGCATTCCTTTGATACTACATAGAAACAGTCTCTGGCTTTGTCTTCCTAGATATGGCACTCTGAATAAATTATAGTACTATGCACTCTGCTCAGGAGGGGTCTAAGACTGTGTCTTTTGATTCTGACAACAAGATAATAAAATTTTGTGATTAAATAGAGTAAATGAATTATAAGTTGGTGATTTTCCTGAGCTCTCCTACCTCAGGTGCTACATTTATACATTTGACAACAGTTAACCATATTCATACCATTCCAAACGATTCTACTCATCTCAGAAGTTCCATTTAAAAGAGACTTAAAGACCTACCTAGTAATGCTGTGTTGTGACTATAGGTATGTACTCTCAGAACAATATTACCACAAAAATCTCTCTACCTACTATTTTAGGTAAAAGCTCCTTTAATAAGAAAGGCTAAGAGTGAATCTCGCAGAAATGAGCCAAGAAGTTATGATCCAAAGGGATACATGTGGACATTTATACTTTTGTCTGTGCTGAAGGTTCTCTCTAACCCAAATGGGTTTGAAAAAGTCCCCATTATAAATTAGCTCCCACAGCCACTGAAATTCTAGATAGATACCTCAGCTGTGGTGGTTATCACTGAGAACTCTGGGGTCTAAACACAAAGCTGGGCCCCCCAGAACAGAGAAAGGTGCCCATAAAACACATGACCATAAAAATCATCAGTGTTGCTGTCAGGGGAAGATGGCTGGAAATGCAGGCATCCTCTTAAAGTGCCAACACACAAAATTTCATGTGCAGCCACTCACATTGGGCTGAAGCAGAGGAAGGGCAGAGTGGACTGGAGCTGTGTAAGAATAATCCAGGGTTGGGAGCTCAGAAGTTAGAGCTCAAAAGTCAGACACCCTGGCTTCCTGTGCTGAGACATTCCCTCATGCTCCAGAGATCATCTTTCTTAGGCAGAATTTTGCTATCCAGGCAGTTTTTGCCTGGAAGGAAGACAGTTGAACCACCCTATTGAAAAAGGCCTGTGGGAAAGCTGGGGAGTGTTAGCGGGGGAAGGTAAGAGATCAACCGAAGGACTTACATGCATGCATATAAGCATAACCAATGGACACAAGACACTGGGGGGTTGGGTGAGGGCATGTGCTGGGAGGTAAAGGAGGCTGGGGGAAGGTCAATGGGAGAAAAAAAAGGAGACATATGTATACTATCTGTAATACTTTAAACAATAAAATTAAATTAAAAAAAGAAAAATGCCTTGCCTCATCATGTGGAGTTTCTGAGGCTCATTAAAATACTGATAATAACAATTATCCTTCAGGCAAAAGAAATTTCCCCACCCTGTTGGAAAACCACTCACCCCAAGTTTGGACAATTACCTGAGACTACTTGAGGCTGAATCCAATCTGTCTGCAGGCAGAGGTGGGTTTCTGGAGGCTTTGAGTATTTACCTGATCTAATTACTCAGAAACAGCATTTGGGTCCCTGCCACTGCCACTGCCCCAGATAGTGCAGCCAGCTGGACCTCAAGCAGACACCACCCTGGACTGCACAGAAAGACAAAAGTCAGAGAGAATGCAAGCACCTGAAGGTGACATCTGCAGGACCAGCTCTGTAGGTAAAGGGAATACAGTTCAGAACAGGGACAATAAAGGTGTGAGGCAAACCCAGCCTCTGGGCTAAGGAGTGCCCAATCACTGGACTACTAGGGCAGTGGTTGGCAAACTCATTAGTCAACAGAGCCAAATATCAACAGTACTTCTTCAAAATAGACTCGCCCAGCTGAAAACCAACTTCTGCGCATGGGCCATGAAGTTTCAATCGCATTGTATGCATGCACCCGCATGTGGTATTTTGTGGAAGAACCACACTGAAGGGGCCAAAGAGCCACATGTGGCTTGCGAGCCACAGTTTGCCGACCACGGTACTAGGGGATTCAACCTCTCAGACCTCAATCAGGTCGCCCAGATCCAGAAAGGAACAGTGACTCACATTCACCTGCAATACAGAAGCTCTCAGGAGGCTCAATATAGACACACCAAGGGATC